TACATAATGATAAAGGGAAAAATCTGGCAAGATAATACAATAATAATAGAATTTAATACTCCACTATATACAGAATATTCCATGCAAAAGTAGCAAAATACACATTCTTCTCAAGTGCACATGGAACATTCTCTGGGATAGATCATAATCCAGCCACAAAACAAGTCTCAACGAATTTAAAAAGATTGAAATCATACAAAACATTTTTTCAGACCACAATGATATGAAACGAGAAATTAATCACAAAAAGAAAACTGAACAAATGAGTCAACAAAGAAAGAAAAGGAGAAATAAAAAAATACCTCGAGGCAAATGAGAATTACAATACAATATACCAATATCTATGATCTATAGCAAAAGTAGTTCTAAGAGGAAAATTCATAGTGATATAGGCTAACCTCAAGACATAAGAAAAATCCAAATAAGCAAACAATACACCTAAGTAATTAGAAAAAAAAAGGAAAAATTGAAACCCTGAATTAGTAAAAGGAAGGAACTAAAGCTCAGAAAAGAGATCAATGAAACAAAAACTAAAAAGACAATAGAAAAAATAAACTAAGAGTTGGTTCTTTGAAAAAAAAATTTAATTTGATAAACCCTTAGCTAGACTCACTTTAAAAAAGAGGGAGAAGGGGATCCCTGGGTGGCGCAGCGGTTTGGCGCCTGCCTTTGGCCGGGGGCGCGATCCTGGAGACCCGGGATCGAATCCCACATCGGGCTTCCGGTGCGTGGAGCCTGCTTCTCCCTCTGCCTGTGTCTCTGCCTCTCTCTCTCTCTGTGACTATCATAAATAAATAAAAATTTAAAAAAAAAAGTTTAAAAAAAAAGGGAGAAGTCTTAAATAAATAACTTCCAAAATGAAAGAGGGAAAGTTATAAATGATACCAAAGAAATATAAAAAATCATAAAGGACTATTATGAAAAATTATATGACAACGAATTGACAACCTAGACAAGGTGGGTAAATTCCTTGAAACAGAATCTTTTAAGACTGAATCATGAAGAAATAGAAAATCTGAATACACTGATTACTAACAAGGAGATTGAATCAGTAATCAAAAACCCCCCCAATAAACAAAGTCCAGGACCAGAGGCCTCACCAGTGAATTCTACCAAACATTCAAAGAAATTTTAATATCTATCCTTCTCAAATTCTTCTAAAAAATTGAATACGAAGATTTCTTCCAAGAGCATTTTCCAAGGCCAGGATTATCCTAGTACCAAAATCAGACAAGAACACCACAAAAAAAGAGAATTACAGGCCAATCTCTCTGATGAACACAGATGCAAATCAAAATCACAATGAGATATCATGCTAACATCTGTTAGAATGTGATGAACACAGATGCAATCGAAATCACAATGAGATGGGCAGCCTGGGTAGCTTACTGGTTTAGCAGGGCCTTCAGCCCAGGGTGTGATCCTGGAGACCCAGGATCAAATCCCGTGTCAGGCTCCCTGCATGGAGCTTGCTTCTCCCTCTGCCTCTTTCTCTCTGTGTCTCTCATTAATAAATAAATAATTTTTTTAAAAAAAATCACAATGAGATATGCTAACAGGTTAGAATGGTTGCTATAAAAAAGACAAGGAATAACAAGTGTAGTGAGGACATAGAAAAAAAGGGGACAGCCCCGATGGCGCAGCGGTTTACCACCGCCTGCAGCCTGGAGTGTGATCCTGGAGACCCGAGATTGAGTCTCACTTCGGGCTCCCTGCATGGAGCCTACTTCTCCCTCTGCCTGTGTCTCTGACTCTCTCTCTCTCTGTCTCTCATAAATAAATAAATAAAATCGAAAGAAAGAAAGAAAGAAAGAAAGAAAGAAAGAAAGAAAGAAAGAAAGAAAGAAAAGAGAAAAGAAAGAAAAGAAGAAAGAAAAAAGAAAAGAAAAGAAAAAAAAGAAAAGAAAAGAAAAGAAAAAAAAGAAAAGAAAAGAAAAGAAAAGAAAAAAGGGAACCTTGGGATGCCTGGGTGGCTCAGTGGTTGAGCATCTGCCTTGGGCTCATGCCAAAGGGCATAACCCTGGGATCCAAGACGGAGTCTCACATTGGGCTCCTTGCGAGGAGCCTGCCTCTCCTCACTCTGCCTCTCTCTCTCTCTCTCTCTCGTGTCTCTTGTGAATAAATAAAATCTTTTTTTAAAAAAGGAAAAAAGGGAACCCGCATTCACTGTTGGTGGGAATGCAAATTTGTGTAGCCACTGTGAAAGAAAGTATGGAAATAACTAAAATAGAAGTACCATATGATCCAGCAATTCCACTTCTGGTTATTTATCTAAAAATATGAAAACAAAAAAAAATAAAAAATAAATAAGAAATAAAAATAAAAATATGAAAACATTAATTCAAAAACATATATGCATCCCTATGTTCATTGCAGTATTATCCACAATAGCCAAGATGTGGAAAGAACCAATGTCTACTGATGGATGAATGGAAAAAGACATGATTATCTCACATACACATACATACATACACACAGATAACACACAATGGAATACTACTCAACTATAAAAAAAGAATCAAATCTTCATTTGCGACAACATGGCTATAACTTGAGAGTATGCTGAGTGAAATAAGTAAGACAGAGAAAAAGACACAGTATGATTTCACTTACATGTGGAATCTAAACAAAACAAACAAAACAAAACATAACTCATAGATGAAGAGAACATATTGATGGGGAAGGGTTAGTAGGTAGAGTGATACGGGAGAAAAGAGTTAAAAGGTGCAAACTTATAGTCATAAAATAAATAAGTCATAGGGATGTAACATACAGCATGGTGACCATAGTCAATATTATCATATGTAGGGATGCCTGGGTGGCTCAGCAGATGAGCATCTGCCTTTGACTCAGGGTGTGATCCTGGAGTCCTGAGATTGAGTCCCACGTCGGGCTCCCCGCATGGAGCCTGCTTCTCCCTCTGCCTATGTCTCTGCCTCTCTCTCTCTCTCTCTCTCTCTCTCTCTCTGTCTCTGTCTCTGTCTCTCACAAATAAATAAATAAAGTCTTTAAAAAAATAATATCATATGTTTATTATGTAACTTCCCCAGTGACAAAAGAAACTAGACTTACTATGGTGATCATTTCACAGTGCATACCAATATTAAATCATGTTATATACATGAAAGTAATATAATGTTATATGTCAATTATGCCTCAATATAAAAATTTCTAAAAATCACACCACCGAGCTGATTTTCAAGTAGATGACTTTGAGACTGAACTGCGAGAAACCTTGGAAGTTAATAGAACACCTTAAAAGTAAAGATTTGGCTCCCAGTCCATTATAAACAATTGTTATTTAGTATCAAGTTCCTAGTTATCTATGTTATAGATATAAATAAATAGAGGAACAGAGAATACCATTATTGAGTCCAAAACTGATTAAGTCTGAGATTTTTATCCCAATATAAATATACCAAGGTATATACATATACATTTCTGTGTGTATTATATTATACATATACATTATACTTCCTCTGTAAATACATATGTATATTATGTATTATATGTATTACTTAGATATTATATATTTTCATACATATTACATATCATTTCAACCTATTCTCTTTCTTAGGTATAAATATATATATAAAACACAGAAAAAACATCATTAAATTTAACATCCATTTATGATTTTAAAAACTCTCAACAAAATGTATTTCATATATGTACATATATACATAAACAAAAACATATATATTATATACATATTTAATATATATACACACACTCCACAGGGAGCCATGATCTGCCCACATGCACACATTTGTGCCAATACCATTAGAGGTATAGAAGCTAGTAATGCCAGTGGAAACTCATGACCACCAAATTTAATAACCAACCTATCCTTTCCAATAATAAATATGAACAACTAAGAATTTCAAGTTATATTTAAAACTAACAACAAAAATGGGAAGGTCAAGCACCTGGATGGCTCAGTGGCTGAGTGTCTGTCTTTGGCCCAGGTCGTGATCCCAGGTCCTGGGATCAAGTCCCACATTGGGCTCCCCGCAGAGAGCCTGCTTCTCCCTCTGCCTATGTCTTTTATAGTTTGATGATTTAACCATAAACCGTGAAAATGTGAAAATAATGCAAAACAGGAGTTAATAGGTAGAAGTAGATGTGGAAGAAAATACACAGGTATTTTCCTGGGTAATACAGGAACTTACCCGGTAGGAAATCAAGAGGCACTGTCAAAAATTTATGGGTCATAACATAGAATTTCTATGAAGTTAAATAACAAAGAATGTTTTTAATAAGTTGGTAGGAATTGGGACTGGGGAAAGAAGATAAGTATAAGTGAGCTTAATATCTTTCATGCCATAGATGGGAAACAATAGCTATTTTTAAAATTGATATATTAACAAATAAAGTATATGAATATTATTTAAGACTTGGAATTAAATTCCAGAAAAACTAACCATAAAATCATTGGAAATAATTACTTCTGATGAGCAGTAATGAAGAAGAGTGTATTGAATCTTACTTTGCAGTTAGCATCCTTTTTGTTTGAATTTTTATTATGGCACATGTTGCTGGCATAACAAATAAAATAAAAAAATATATATACTACTAAATAATAGAGTAAATGATCATATCTAATCTAGTTTTATGCCTACATTTTCACAAATTTATCTGAATAAAAGCTTAAAAGAGACACCAGTTTTTGTTTCCATGTTCATCAGTAGCATAAAAAAATCAATGCTGATCTAGGAATCACTATGTAAATAGAAAGACTGACTAACTGCAATCTGGTCAAAATAACTTGATGCCAGAATATGTAATTAATAAAAAAAAATTCTATACAAAGGATCCTTCACATCTAGAACCAGAAAAGCTCACATACTGATTCACTGTAATTTATCTCCTTAAAATACTGCAGGCCTATAACCCCTCCAAAGGGAGACACTGCTGTTTTGAACACAGTCAACACTTGCATTGTCCTAATACTACCTTTTGTCCTACTTCTATGCTTATAAACATGGCACTATTTTTACCTTGAATAATGCATGGCTTGGTGGCCTGCAATATTAAAATAGAAGTCTGTGGTGTGCTTCATCTCATTGGTGTGCCCAGTGGCCTCAATCCAGTGTCCTATTGGGAGACAGTAAACACCATCTACCAAGTTGTTTTCATTATAAGTACAGCAACGGTCGTGGTGAGGTCCATTGCCTGGAACAAGAAGACAAACAGAGCAATTAAGTGAATGTTTTGCTTAAATAGCCACAAAGTAACTGATGCAAAATTAATAGGAAGAAGAAAATAAAGCTGCTTAATCTACACATTTCAGTATGAACAAAGAATGGACTAGAGGAGAAAAACAGAAAAAAAATTGTAGTTACATACAAATTTCATAGAGTTCTGTGCTCCCTTTGAATACATGCATATTTCTAAAAGCATTAACTCTCAGAGTTTAGTGATACTTCTCAGTACCCTAACCACCCATTGTGGGTCATTTTGCAGCCTTTTTATCTTTCTGGTATGCAAATTCATAACTAAAATCAGTAATAAAAAGAATCAGTAATAAACTTTTCAGTATCAGCTCAAACAAATGAATTTTTAAAATAAATACATTAATAAATAATAAAACAAATGATCACATCCAACCTAGTGTGCATGTAAATCAGTGGTTAGTACTATTTTCAGTTGGGAAACTAAGTATCACAGAGTTTAGCTACCTTGCTCAAGGTCACAAAACTGGCAAGTGCTGGGCTAGGAGCAAACTGATACCTTTAGTTCCCCATCTTTCAGGCATTTGATGCCTTCATACTGTTTTATGCCTACTTTATAAGCACCACCACACACCATCCTCCCTCCATGGAATGAACCAAAAGAGACAGAGAAGGAAGAGCACACCTCTGAAAACACTATTTGCCTACATCACATTCTGCCCAGTATCTACTACACTAGTAAACAGATCCTTTATTTCTACGAAATTATAATTCATAAATTATTTCTATTTGCCCTTATGTGACCACACCATTTCAAATCATTCCTTTCCTTAAACTACCTAATTTCTGAATGTAGTCTTTAATACAAAAAACATGTAAGCAAAATAAAGATAGGAATAAGTCACACTTGTTACAAATATGAAAATCTGACTTATTTGTTCCTTGCTGTCTTACAAAATATTTTACCTAAAGTTATTTGGCATAAAATCTCAAAGGCAAAAAATCCTTAAGTCATTGGACAATTCTTTAGGATATGACTCCCTTTCATCAGGTGGGAGATACAAGATGGTAGCTCCCTTAATAAATCATCACTGATCTTCCTGGATCAGACTCTTTTTCTCTTGATGGCTACAAGGCACTACACCGACTAGTCCTTTACCCTTTATATTTCATAGATGAAAACAAAGCTATACCAGCAACCCCACTTCTAGAAACATATCAAATAGAAATATAACAAGAATTTTAAAAGATACATAGAGATACATGTGTGTAACAATACTATTTTAATAGCACATACTCAAACTATGAAAGTTCATCTATTCATTTTCCCACAAATACTTATTAAAAGTTAACTACATGATCTACCTTGTTCTAGGTCATGTTAAGGATGTTGGTATTTACCATAGGAAAAACAATAAAATGAAATATTTTAAGTAGGCAGGTAACATGACTAAATTTTTGTTTTTAAATTATCTCTCTGGTTACAGAGTAAAAATTTAATTTAGGGGCAGCCTGGTGGCTCAGCAGTTTAGTGCCGCCTTCAGCCCAGGACGTGATCCTGGAGACCCAGGATCAAGTCCTGCGTTGGGCTCCCTGCATGGAGCCTGCTTCTCCCTCTGCCTGTGTCTCTGCCTCTCTCTCTCTGTGTGTGTCTCTCATGAATAAATAAATAAATAAATAAATAAATAAATAAATAAATAAATAAATAAAATCTTTAAAAAATTTTTAATTCAAATGCAATGAGATTAAAGCAAAAAGTCCATTTAGGAAACTAGTGTTCTAGCCTAGACAGATGATGAAAGCCTAGAGGTAGTAATGGAAAGGAGTGGACAGATTTAAGAAGGAAAAACCACAGGGCATGGTGATTAACTGGACATTAGAGGTGAAGGAGAAAAGGAACCAAAAATAACTCTAGGCTTATGGCAAATAGAACTCAATATATAGTGGTACCATTCACTAAGATATGAAATATTTGTATGAAATAAATGTATGAGTTCTCTAAGTGTAAATGGCAGTTGAGGCAAGGATATAGATGAGTCACAAAGAAAAACAATAGTGATGTAGAAGAAAAGGTTTCTAGACCCAAGTTTGAAAGCATTCCAACATTTAATAGCTAGATAAAGAAGAATGAGCTTACAAAGATTACATTGAAAGAGAAAATGGAGAGAAAGACTGGGAGTGAGTAAGTGAAGTGGGGAAACATGATTGAAAGTGTAAATAAGGGACGCATGGGTGGCTCGGTGGTTAAGTGTCTGCCTTCAGCTCATGGCCTGATCCTGGAGTCCCAGGATCAAGTTCCACATCGGGTTCCCTGCATGGAGACTGCTTCTCCCTCTGCCTATCTCTCTGTCTCTCTCTCTCTGTCTTTCATGAATAGATAAATAAAATCTTTTTTTTTAAGTGTAAATAAAGACTAAAAATTGGGTGAATGCATGTCTGACTGTTAATAGTTACATCTGGAGAATGGAACTGGGATGAAGAGGACCAATTTATTCTGAATTTGTTGGATTTGTCACAAAGCACAAGTATTTATTACTTTTTGGTTTAATAAAAGAATATCTGCAGCTCCCACTGTTCAGTATAATACCAGTAAAATAGACTTACAGCAATTTATTTGTTTGTTTACTTTTAATTTTAAGTAGGCTCCATGCCCAGTGTGGAGTTTGAACTCATGACCCTGATATCAACAGTTGGGTGCTCTACCAACAGTTGGGTGCTCTACCAACTGAGCCAGCCAGGTCCCCCTAGACTTATGACAATTTAAAATCTTATTTATTTATTTATTTATTTATTTATTTATTTATTTATTTATAAGAGAGATAGCAAGACCAAGTGAGGAGAGGAGCAGAGAGAGAGGGAGAAGGAGAATCCTAAGCAGACTCCATGCTGAGCACAGAGCCCAATTGTAAGGAGGGTGCAGGCCTGATATCTCAAAATCCTGAGACCATGACCTGAGTTGAAACCAAGAGTCAGATGCCTAACCAACTGAGCCACCTAGGCACCACTAGACTTACAATTTAAATGTAACAACTTAAATAAATACTACTATTGAGGAGCTCAAATACACATAAATTATGATGTTCAAGAAAAATTATTTACATAACATCAACTTCTTAAGAAGTCTTCACTCCTGGAATTAGGTTTTTGAATTATTCATTTTTACACATATATGTTTTAGGAGAAGTAACAAAACACTTCTATTTCTTTCATCCAAGGAGATATCAGTGGAGGCCTAATGGAGAGCTGGAACTCCCACACCACTCAGTAGTAATAGTTCAATCCCTTCAGTTGTCAATGGATGGGGAACCTGGGTAATAAGGTAGCACTCCCACTCTCCTCCTGGAGCAGTGCTAGAGGAATCCAGTTAAACCAGAAGATTTGAATAAGATCCAGGGTCACATTATACAATACTCAAAATGTCCAGGTTTCAATAGAGTCATTCATTATATCAAAAATCACAAACGTCTCAAACTGAAAATTTTTAAATGCTTAAAAGATGCCAACATCAAGATAACAGAGATGTTAGAATTATCTGAAAAAGATTTTAAGCTTCAACAACCCATTAAAACACATTTGAAACAAGTGAAAAAATAGAAAGTCTCAGCAAAAACTAGACAACATAAAGAAGAGCCAAATGGAAATTTTAGAGCTAAAAAAGACAACAATTGAAATAAAAACCTCAGTGGATAGGCACAAGAGTACAATGGAGGAGACAGAAGAAAGAATCAGCAAGCTGCAAGGTAGAACAATAGAAATTACTCAAACTAAGGAAAGGAGAGAAAATAGGCTGAGAAAAGACCAGAAATTTAAAGACCCATGGAACTATAACAAAAGATCTAACATTCATGTAATTGGAGTTCTGAAAAGAGAGAAGAGTGTGAAGTGAAAAACATTTGAGAAGATAATGCCTAAAAACTTTCCAAACTTGCCAATAAACATAAACCTACAGATTCAAGAAGCTGAGCAAACTCCAAACAGGAAAAACACAAAGAAATCCATGCAACTACATTTCATAATTAAGTTTATGAAAACCAAAAATGAAGGAAAAATTGTGAATGTAGCCAGAGAAAAATAACAATTGAGGAGAACAACAATGCTAACATCAGTAGGTTTCTAAATTGAATGAATAGCAGGAGATCTCTAAGCAGAAAGGAAATCATTAAACATCAGGAAGGACAAAAAGGGTAAGCAAATATGAGAGTAAAAACAACAGACTTTCCTTCTCCTTTTGGGTTTCTAACAAAAATTATAATGCTACCTGATGTGGTTCTAGGTGTATTGGGAGGAAATATTAAGACAATTATATGGAGAAGTGCAAAAGGATAAAAAGGAAGGTAAGATTCTTTGACCTTATTCAAATGAACAAAATAATGACACCAGTCAATTCTGTTAAGTTAGGTATGTATAAATGTAGGTAAATCAAATTGAAATTCTAAAAAAATGTTCAAATATGAACTATACATGCCAATATAAAGGTAGGAAAAAACCCAGAAAACTAAAACAAACAAAAAAAAGACAAACTTGTCCTAACATAATCAATAAATACATTAAACATAAATAGTCTAAATACACCAAATAGTGAATGGGTGACGGGCACGGAGGGGGACACTTGACGGGATGAGCACTGGGTGTTATTCTGTATGTTGGTAAATTGAACACCAATAAAAATTAATTTATAAAAATAAATAAATAAATAAATAAATAAATACACCAAATAAAATATAGAGTGAAAAAAAACAAAAACAGAGAGTGGCAGAGTAGGCTTTTTAAAAAATTATGTCTAGAAGAAACTAACTTCAAATTATAGGCAGGTGGGGAATAAAAGTGTAGAAAAAGATATACCATGAAAAAAAATTTTTAAAAAGCACAGTGGTTCCATTAATATTATATAAAGTAGAACCTTCATAGCAAAGAAAATTACTAGAGATATATAGAGAAAATATATGATGTTAAAAGTATCGATCTATCAAGGTGCTATAAGAATTCTAAAGGTGTACATAC